GCTGGAAGCTTCGCTGGGTTGGCTCACAGCAAGCCAGATCTGGCTTCCGGCAAACGATCTCAACACGGTGTGCTGCCTGTGGTACCAACCAGTATCGACACTTCATAGGCACAGCAAATTCATTGCTATCTGGGCTCAATCGTGCGAAGTTGTGCAGACTGTGCAGTGCCGACAGCAAGTACATCTCTGCACTGCTAGCCCCCCACGACGACAAGCCCTGCCGACGACACGGCCCTCCGTGTAAGACAATTACTATATATCGGGGACTGGAGCCAGATATGGAGGCTTACAGTCGACGATAAAGCTTCCGTCCGCCTTTCTCTACAACTCGTCCTGTCGATCATCGGTTTACTTTCACCTACATCGCGACACTCAGACTATAGAATGACTATGTTTCCCACTGCCGAACCTTTGTATCGCCTGCTTTTTCCTGCTGCTTTACTCTGTCTTCTAACAGGACGTCTGGGGAGGGCATCGACTGACGTTAGCGGTGGAAGCACTCAAATTGGGGCGAACGGCTTCTTGTCGTCATGTGTCCAATGGGGTGCATTGAAGAATGCAAAGTACAAAGTGGCAGCCTACTGCCCGTCGCTCGCTGGTCGATATCGTTGGTCCGTCATTGACTTGAACTCCTGTCTCGTCAACATTCAAGGCGAACTTGTCGCGCAGGACGAGTGAGTTCGACGCCCTGACTGTTGCCTGAATGAATCTGACATATCCAAGCGGGCTCTTCTTTCGCACTTGCGGGCCATGCTGGGAAGATAACTCGACCTCAGCTTGGGCAAACTATGCGTGTGGCTGCGAGATAGTGGCGGGGCAGGGACGCCACACCGCAGACGGGATCAACCTCAGTAAAGTATTCCATCCACCTGCACGAGGAGCTGCCTAACCCTTCACAGACGATCTGCTGGGAAACGACGACGGTGTTCTCTTTTGCGGCAGTAAGAGAACTCATGGACAGGTAGTAGACGAGAGCAGGGTGACTCGGTCAGGCTCGGATCTCTATTTGAACGATCCCTAGGCGACAGCGTACGACTGGATGGTCTTTGATGTATTTGATTGAACGGACGCAATCTCATCGAGACTGAATGATATTGAGATGATAACGAATCGAGAGAGCCGCCCTAGTATCTCAATGAAGGAACCAAAAAGCTGCTCTAATAGACCTCTTGCTAACTTGCATGATTTGACTGATGCTATCAGTCCGCAGCTGTCATCGAGATGTTGGTAAGCCCGTGCGACTTAGGAGAGTCGTCAAGAAACGCTATCGAGTAGTTTGCCAATCTAGGACTACTCAGATTTCAGCGGAAGGTTTGCTATAGGTCTTCCTCGTTGTATATGAGATCTGGCAATTGAGATGAGAGTCAGCTACCGCGGCCGTCACATAGTGTGCAATACTCTCGGAGAGCAACATGATACCCGTTGCCTGATCAACGGCTGTGCCAGTGTGGCGATGTACTTCCAATTAATCGTCTGATTGCAGACTCGAAAACAATGATTACTAGATCCACGACATCACCGTACTCTACTCGAGCTATCCCGTATCTTCTTGCCATGTGCATCCATCCTGATCCAGCTTTCCCAACGTTTCTGTGTTTCTGAACTGTTCTTATCACTTTCGTATTGTATGAAGCAAGTTTTGAAGAAACGATACAAAAACCTGTCCCCCAATGGCCGCTACCTGAACGACCGGCGGCAATGGCTCACTAGGCGGACATCGGTCAACAACGTTCATGGTAAAATCAGATCATGTTTGCAACCGAGGATTGCGCGCTTAACTGCTGCCTTTTGGCCATGACTCGTCAGACTTCTTCACTGTACATTGGCGGATTACTCACCACTTTCAGACGTGACAGACCATGCCGCACTTTGGGTGCTACTAGCATCACGGCTGGACTCGTGGTCTCTCGCCGATTGTTCAAGCTCCTCTTCCCCGTAAAAGGATATCTCGAACACAGCCGCAGCGAGCTTCTCATCAGGGAAGCCGGTCTTTCTAGCTGGCTCTCTGTGTGCGTTTGATGTCTCAGAGGTAGGAGCCATTTTGGTGAGCCAACAAGAAGTCAATGAGAAGAATGGAAGGTAGTGAGGAAGAGATAGACGGCTCTGTCAGAAGTGAGACAGCGGAGCTTATATGCTCTGGGACTACAAGTGCCGCCTACGTGAAGAACCAACCCGACACAGACGGATCACTCGTGGAGATCCCAGGCCAGAGCCATTCAACATATGGCGTAGATCCTTCAAGTCCGGAAAGAAAGTACGAGCCGTACGGCTGGCTTAGAGCTTATCTTCAAATTATTGGTGTTGCTTTCGATTTCACCCGCAAGAAAACTTTTCGGATGTCGCCGCAAGTATCCACCTCGATGTAGCAGTCAACCGTGATCAACCTTTGGACCGTAAGAATCGACATTTACCATCACAGGGCCGTAGAAGTTCATCCGGCAGAATAATCGCTGGAGGACTAAGCTTAGGGTTCGCCAAACCGATCCTACAGTCACAGAACAAAAACAGATCTCCAGCATCATCAAATCATCTTTTTGGCGTCTGATAAGCTCGAGTTACTTGAGAGATTGACAAAGAGGTATGATACGTCGTAGCCTAGACATGGCACGTTGGCGTCACTTAGGTCAATGACCAAAGCCAAAATGCGCCTCTCGCAACAGCCTATTCTGGCTTTCGATAAAGTACACATGCGCTCGGAGTCTCGGCTCGAGAAGCAACTTGACTTCAAACTCTACGCAAAAAATTTCGATCACTGTTTAGATACGAGCATCACTTCGATGCCAGAAAGACAAAGACATGCCTCCGAAGGCCAGCAACATTGAACGCCAAGCGTGGAACAGTAAATGCAGGGGCCTACTCGCCAAACACATTTGTGAGACTTTCTGTAACCCTGAGACTTCCTCTGGACTAACGACTAGTTGACGAGCGTCTTGGTGTTGTTGTGGAGGACTCCAAAGTACGCCTCAAGACGACAGAAGATGATCTGTATGCGTGGGATTGTCGGCCCTTCATTGCCCCGCTCTTCGAAAAAAACCTCAGCACGCATTCAGTCGGCGGGTATAAGAAGATCTGCGCGGGAATCGGCACGTTATTCTGGGCGATCCCTGCTGTCGTAGACGACGCGGAAGACGAGAGCCAAGTCGTACGAGTTTACTAGCTTCCTCTTTAGCTTTTTCTAACATGAACCAGTTAGAAGCAGAGAATCAGTGTTTGCGTACGCAGGTACAAGAAATTCTCGGGGAGAGAGACCAGTTGAGATGCAGTCTTCAGGAGATGGAAGACTCGGCAAGGAGAGAGAAGCAAGCCGAAGCAGACACAGCAGTCAAGCTCGAGGCCGCCAACGTTGAGTGTGAAGTTCTCCGAAATCAGCTCCAACAAACAAAAAAGCAACTGGAGCTGCTCGAAGCTATGGTCTCTCGGCACCGCTCGGCATTTGCCCAGATTCTGGATGTCACAGAAGGAATCGTCAACAAGTCTCCTGCATTCACTAGCTAAAGTACACGTGAATACGAAACTCATCTGTCATGCTCCGAGATGCGTCGACGAACGGTGCACACCACAAGTAGAGGTGAATGGTTAGCCACTGTTCAGATCGCGGTATTCAGGGAGTTGCCGTGATGTCGAATAACAAGGCGTCTGCTACCGCTTGAGAAATGCTCCACCGACCAGAATCAATGTGAGATGATCCCCTTCCCCATTTGCAACATGGTGTCTGCACATCTGGAGACTATCACTTTGATCTTTGTTGGCCGCCTGGTACCTTCGTTCACGACCAAGGATTTCTAGCAGATTCCCTGTTTCCAGCGAAGTGAAGGGCAGTCGCGCTAGGTATCACCGTAGCAAACGAAGAGCGGCGTATCACGTCTTTGTCGAGGAAGAAGGACCACGTTCGGACCATAAGTCAGTTGTATACGAAATTACGATCGGGTGCATCGGCGCGGACACGCTCAAACCCGCCTTGTTTCAGTCTCGTCATTTGCCAATTCTGGGGATACCCATCCACTTTTGCCACTCAATATACATATCTTGGCAGTCGGGAGCTACTTGTCTTGCACGAAGTCTCTCCCCAGGCTTCCTGACCGGACGAAACCAGCAAGGTGATAAATATACTCTTTGCAGGCTGTGACACTGTTGAAAGAACTTTAAAGCATTGGCACATGGCTTCTCATTAAGCGGATGATTCTCGATCTGCGACATGATGTCGTCAAGATCTTGCGGCTCCAAGCGGCGTGGTGGCAACGGAACAATCTGATCGGTGTCAATGGCAAGCTTCTGAAGCCTGGGAAGCAGTCTGATGGCTGGGATGAGCTCCTGTGTACGATTAGTATCCGACAGTTATTCTACCGACATTGGAAGCGGGGTTCGTACCGAAACTCTCACCCCATCTAGTCCACCCTTCAGTAGCAGGTGCTGGACATTGGAAAAAGAGCCACCACCACTTCTACATCTCTCAGAGACCAGTAGCATTTCTGGAGCTCCAGGACATTCAGATGAGGGTGCGAGGAAAGATCCCGAAGAACGGTCACCGATTTTGTCATGTCGCTGACGCCAAGACTGAATCGATGGGCGTTAGGAAGCACTTCCGAGATGGAACCGGGGCTTTTCGCTGCCCGATACCAAAATGTCTTTACCGAAGGCAAGGTCCTTTCCCATAAGCTGGCGTGGAATGCATCGGCAAACAGCGATCCACCTCTGACGAAATCAAGCATCAATTCTTTCAGGCCGTTCGTACAGCAAAGGACTTCAGCAAAGAGTACGAGTACTGCATTATCGAAGGGCTCATTCATTGCTTCCGGAACCCTCTTTATGCGGATGGTAAATGACCTTGTGGGGATGTCAGTTCCTCAGGTTTCCTCTCGTGCAACAGAAGCTTTCGCGGTTACCTGACTACTGGAAAGACTTTTTCGTTCCCTCTGATATCTCGCAAGAAGCGGTAGATCTGGGTTCTCTTCATCCAGACGTTGATTGATCTGAAGATCCATGCGGTGGATAACCACTGTAGAAGTTTGCCCGATAATGAAATGTTCAGTGCGCTCTCAAAATTGTCAGATCTCCAGAGGTCGAAAATCATGAAGACGATGTCCAATGGCAGGTCAAGGAGCGGAAATGGTTTCGAGGGAGCAGGAATGATGGAAGTCGGATTCGCTGCATGTGGTGAGGGTGGGGAAGACATGGTCTGGCTTTGGAAAGCACTCCTGTTACCGTCGATACGCGCAAACGGCTTTATGCTGAGTCTCAGAGCTGGAAGAAGAAACGAAGGGTCAGGCTGTAACGAGAAAGATTGACTCAAGTTGGATGGACTTGATAAAGTAGCACGGCCTCGAGAGGACACGAGCAGTCTCTATATACTGCTCGAGAGGTCCCCTGATACCGGTGGTAAAATATGGCTCACATGCCAAAACCGGTAACGCAGCCACTCGAGGGTGATGGTCCTGACACCAAGATCCAGGGGCTAACTAACTAACAGGTCGATGTGGGTCAGCATGTGGAGGTGGGCATCACAATCATTCTCCCGGCGACGTATCGGCCATTCACTAAGTATCTCATTCCATCCAACTTGGTGGTGGTGAAGCATAGCATAACTACCGAAATGAACATGGATGCAAAGTGCCATGAGACGTCGGAGACTGGCCTGAATCCAGAGGCCTCGCGGGAATCAAAGTGTTTGACTTAAACCGCGGTCGTCGCTCTTTGATGCCTGGGAAAAGGGAGTTGAGAGATGCCTGGATGTATGGAGCTGTATCATGAGTTGCTGGGAAGGTGTCGATCATTCTACTTTCCCTCATGAGGTCCGGTGAAAGTCTCGACACCTTCTCTCTTCGAGACTTCATGTGCTTCTGCTCTATATGCTGGCATTCGAGATAATGTCGTTTGCCTGGGAAGGCCCACCCAGATATCGCCACAGGGAATATCTTTTTGACACCACTCGGTCACCTGAAGTAATGACTCACTGTCACGATCACCATCACATAAGATTGGTTCGAGCCGGATGGATTCGAGGGTGCTGACGAAGGGCCAATGGGACTGTATGTTGATTCTCCGTAGTAGAAGATGAAAGTAGCCTACGGGGGTCCACTTGCGTTCGAATTGTCTAACCCGACGGCCACAGAAGCACAAAGAACACATCGATGGATCAAACTGTATGTGTTTTCTGCGCAGTGGAATGACGTCGGACCTTTTCGTCATGATTTCGATCTAGTCTAGGGAATCACGCGGTAGGGTTCTAGCATCCATCAAAGCATCAAACTGATGGCTAGATGTCTGGCTGAAAGCCCACATCGTCAGCGTTTGGCTTCTGTCTCCTCTCGCATTCGCAAGCAAGCGTGTGAGTTCGCTGACAACGTGACCCAAACGGCTATAGCTGCCGCTATCATGAAGAGTGATCCCGATAGTATGCCAAGAATGGCAGCATACTGCCAGGCATGGTCGGCTGTGAACCAAAAGACTAGGCCCATTACAAGCTCGAATACCATCAGGTCGAAGAAGAAGATGGGTACCCAAGCCATCACCTGGCGTGCTTTGGTAGCCTCTTGCACGCGCTGAAGCTCAAACGAAAGCATAATTGTGATCATTCCTGTAAATGCCGCCGTGATAATCGACCCAACCAGGAGGCATGTTGACATATCACTCAGGACTGATGAGGTTGTCGATGATTGATTGGCCAACATGAGTACAGCAGTGATGCCAGAAACCGCCGTTGCGAGGTTCAGCGTTGGGTATGAACGCCTCAGACGGGCAACCTCTGCAACCTCTACATGGTGTTATCAGTAAGCTCGGCGAGATGTCTGAGGACGGAGCTCTTACTATAGGACGAGTCCGGCATATCGTTCTTTGTAAGAGAGACAAGGGAACTCATGGGTGGAATGATGAGCTTTTGTGTCCGAGACCATACACCACATACACCTGTGAAACGAGAGGTTTTGATGATGATACTACTGTATACGGGACATGGTGCTTGGCTGATCGCGAAGCACTATATAATGGGTGTCCCGCGTTTGTACAAGTGCTCTTCACGCCGGAGGAACAGTGAGCACTGTGTGCTGCGCCGAAATTACGTCCTGCAGATAAGAAATAGTAGCTCCTGTCTCATTCGCGCGACGTCAGGCATGGCTGTTGCACCGATTTGACAGGAGCGATCAGCGACGAATACGCTGTTCCTAGGCACGTAAGGGTGATTTCGGCCATAGGAATCCCGACTTTGGGCCGAGTAGAGACTAACCGGCAGCGTCCCGATTGCTCTTTGCCAAGTTCGCGACATGGCGTCTCATTTGGCGTCCCAGAGTCGGCCTCCGTCAGAACCCGCTCCAGCATGTGAAAATCAGCCCAAAGAATGTTCAAGCCTCATCAGCATCAATACTTACGAAATGCGAGAGTTTCACGGCCATCTGGTAAAAGAGGCTTTTTGCGTAATCTTAAGTGGCCCAGGTCGCTAATAAGCATGAGAATCAGCATAAGCCGCCAAAAGCCAATCTAGCCCATTCAGATCACTCCCTTCAACATCCTGAACTGTTTGAATGCACCGCGAGGGCATGGAAAATCGCAAAATCGTGACAAGTAAGCCAGCGGATATCGGCCCCAAAGCCGAATGTCAGAAAGCCAGAATCGACGTGACGCTCAGCTTTGGCTGTCTCTCTTACCCGCTCGTGCCTGGAGAGAACCGTACCTCTACGATTTCCGAGATCAACCCATCCTTCCGCTTGCTCTGACGCGGCATATTATATGGATGACTCCATCCATCTTCCGCCTTGTCTTTGAACCCATCAACAATGGAGATGGTCTGCAGATCCCACTAAAACCACCGATATAGCCCACTGGTGCCAAACAGACTCCATCATGCGCGACTATGAGGTGTACACGAGCACGGCAGTCTCGATCATCGTTCTCTATGGCATCGCCTCTATCGCACGCCAATACGCACGGCTGAAGCACATCAGGGGGCCCTCAGTCGCAGGATTTACCGACTGGTGGCTTGTGCGCGCCCTGCGTAGTGGGAGGGGGCATCTTGAGTTCTACGAGGCCTACCAGAAATATGGTATGTTGGGACCCATACCGCTTCTGAGGGCCCCCGAACGTCTTACATACATCGCAGGATCTCTTGTACGTGTCGGGCCGAGGGATCTGATCACGAGCGACCCGGACCTCATGAAGCACATGCTCGGCGTGCGGACCAAATACAGGCGGTCGAATTGGTACGACGCCATGAGGCTTGATCCTGGCAGAGATAACATATTGTCCATGGGAGACGACGCGTTGCACGCCCAGCTTCGATCCCGGATGGCTGCTGGAGTAAGTCATACACTGGCCCACTTGCCTCCGGAAAACCTAATCGGCTTCCTCAGTACTCCGGCAAAGAAGTTGAGAACCTCGAAGGAAAAGTGGACGAGAACATTCTTCGTCTTATCGATCTGGTCGATCGCTATGTTTCCGAGAACAAAGCTTTCGACTTCGGTCTCAAAGCGCAGTACTTCACCCTCGACGTCATCTCGGACCTTGCTTTTGGTGAGCCGTTTGGCGATGTGGCTTCCGACTCTGACGTCCATGAGTACATCCGCACATCGGAGCAGAACATGCCGAACGTCGTGCTGGCAGCAGTCCTGCCTTGGCTCCTAGCCCTACTCTCTTCGCCCCTGCTTCGGGGCCTTTTACCTTCTGATAAGGATGCTATAGGGCTCGGGAAGACGATCAGGTACGTGTCTCATAAGGGAATGACTACTGAATCCGTGTCTTGAGCATTCGCTCTGAGCCCCATCTCGGCACATTCTTTGACATTGTCGACAGTGCTGATAATCGGGCGTTGCACTGGCAGGATCGCCAAAGAAGTCGCCGCGGAACGTTTCGGTCCAAATAAGAAGATTAGGAAAGATATGCTCGGCTCCTTCGTAGCTCACGGTCTGACCCAGGAGGAAGCGTCATCGGAGATCCTCATGCAGATGTACGAACCCCCGAGCCTCCGTAGTGCTCGCTGACGTTCTTGGACACTAGTCTAGCTGGATCCGACACGACGGCGACCGCCATTCGCGCGACGCTCCTCCACATCCTCACGAGCCCCCGAGTATCCGCCGCTCTTCGTGAGGAAATCGAGTTGGCTAAGCCGTCGTGGCCCGTGATCACAGAGGCAGAAGCGCGTAGCATGCCGTACCTGCAAGCTGTGATCAAGGAAGGGCTTCGGATCTTCCCGCCTGTCGTGGGCCAGATGTCCAAGGAAGTCCCCAAAGGCGGAGACACGTTCAAGGGGGTCCACT